CTCAGCAAAATGTTTCAGTTTTAGAGCGAAACGTTCCATTTTCTACCGCCCTGCTTGGAGTCACAGCTGAGACACGAAGGAGCTGTGAAGACTGAAAGAATTCCAGAGGAGAACGAGGTCACGGAGAGTGGCTTCAGGAGGACACATTTCCACCTCTGGAAGATCCCCAAATCTCCACGCACAGCTGCTCCTCAGCCGAGCACAGCTCCCATCTCCCAGGATCCCAGGATGGTTTGGGTTGCAGGGACTTTAAATCCCATCCCATTCCATGGGCAGGGACACCTCCCACTGTCCCAGGTGGATCCAAGCCCCAATGTCCAACCTGGCCTTGGGCACTGCCAGGAATCCAGGGGCAGCCACAGCTGCTCTGGGAATTCCAGCCCAGCCCCTGCCCACCCTCCCAGCCAGGAATTCCTTCTCAATCTCCCATCTCTCCCTGCCCTCTGACAGTGGGAAGCCATTCTTCCCCTCTGATGTTGTAATTATTTTGAGGGGTTAATGACTGATGCTGTGAATTGGCCTTCACAATTCTGAAATGAATAGTCAGGATTTTAGCCTTAAATACAAATATTTAGATGCAAATTCTTCACAGACGGAGCCTTGGAAGGGACCCACAAGGATCATGGAATCCAGCTCTGATGGAGCTGGGTCTGATGGCCCCATCCATTCCAGGGAATCATCACTTCAATCAGGGAATGATCCACGTGAACATTCTGTGCAGCTGCAGGGAGGAACATTTAATTAATTCCGAGGCAATTACCGTGACGAGCCGGTCCAGCTCCGAACAGGGACATTTTCCCAGTTGTTGTGTGGAGGCCAGATGGGAACACAGGCTGTTATTAGGGCTTGGCTTGCCCCTCCTGAGGTTCCTGGCAGGTAATCAGTCTATTTTTCCCATTTGGAGGTTTGGATTTTGGTGTTCTGGGAATTAGGCCCACAGGGATGTCCAGGAGATGTTTCAGTGTGAATGGAAGGTTTATTTTTTTATATTCCCACTAGGAAATATTCCTTGCCCCTGCCAAATACCAGGATGCAAATAGAAATCTCTGGGCTCTGTTTGGCAGCAGATGGAAAACTGAACCAGGCAGGAATTATTGTGGACTCTTGGGATTTGGTAAAACCTGGTGTGGGTCGCCTTGTTGCTGCACAGCTTCTCACAGGACGATGAAGGTTGGAAAAGACCTCCAGGATCACAAGGACTCATGGAATTAACTAGTCTGGAAAAGACCTCTGAGATGGTTGAGTCCAGCCTGTGACCTCACAGCACCTTGTCACCCGGACCATGGCAGGGTGCCACACCACCAAGGTGACCTGCACTGCTTCACTGAGGCTTTGTGCCACCAACACCAGCTGCAAATAGTCCTTGAGGTGCTGTCCTAACACCCCTCATCCTGGTGTGCTCAGCAGTTCATGGATTAATTCGGGGATTTTCTGCTCTTGGTGAGGAATTTTTCATGTGCACCCAATGAGGAGTTGGTCATGGACCTCATGGGAAGTTACCCATGGACCTAATGATGGCTCTGATCACCTGGAGCTGTTGATGCTGGTTGGTTGTATTTGCGTTTTCCTAATTTACCACTTGGATATTTGCTGGGAACTGTGATTTGGGATGAGTTGAGGCTGGGACATAAATGGGGGCCAGAAACACCAAAACCTCAGAACTGTAGAAGGCGAAGGTCGCTCACATTGGGTTCAGGAATTTATTCTACATCTGATATCAAAGTTGGTGACGATGTCATTGGAGAAATTCCATCTTAGGTTGCTTCCCTGAGATCCTAAAAGTCAGGTTAAAATGGAAATTCATTGATTTTTAGGGAATGGGCTCCCATATCCTGTTGACCTGTGGTGGCTCAGGTGTCCCCTGGGTCAGACCCTCTGCTGGGGTTACAGGGAGGGACCTGCTCTGTTCTCATCCCTCATCCCAGCCCGTGCAGGTTTCCAGGGAAAGGTTTGGGCTTCAGTGGGATTGCTGGAAAGATGGAGGAAGCCCTTGCAGAGGTGAAGTCACTCCTCAGTCCTGTGCTTTCTGCAGGATTTCAGTGCCATTCCTGAAGGTTTTATTTATTGGCTGTGAGGCTGCTGCCGGAGCAGCCCCGGGAGCAGGGAATGAGGATAATTACCAGGAAATTATTCCGTGGCCTTCAGCAGGGCTGCGCTCCCTCTTTGGCTGCTGGTGCTGCAGTCTGGGAAGGGGAGCTCATTCCTGGCCATTCCCAAGGAGGGGAGGGGCAGGATCAGGGATTTCCTGCATGGGGATCCCAGGATCAGGGATTTCCTGCATGGGGATCCCAGGATCAGGGATTTCCCGCATGGGGATCCCAGCGCTCCCGGTGCCCAGGAGCTGCCTGGCATGGACGTGGATCAGAGCCCCTTGGGACCTCCTGGATCTTGGTTTTTCTTGTAGGAAGCCAGGATTAATAACAGACATGGGGCACTGAGGGGTTGATGTTCCCCTGAGACAGCTGCAAAGTACCTGATCCCAAAAAATGCTGTTTGATGTCTTTGGAGCGTCAGGAACGTGGAATATCTCTGGTTTGGGTGTAGCACAGTCTGTCAGCTGCAGACTTCCTGGGACATTGAAGATCATCTCATCCCATGGGCAGGACACCTCCCACTGTCCCAGGTGGATCCAGCCTGGCCTTGGGCACTGCCAGGGATCCAAGGGCAGCCACAGCAAATCTGGGAAACAAACCTCTGCCAGGATCCCTTGGAAACACCTCAGGGTACACAGAGTGTCTGGATAGGATGGAGTTAAATAAGTTTTGCTGTGAAATCAGTTCCAATGGATTTAGGATGTCCAAAAGGAATGGATTTTCTTATGGCCAAAATCCATATGGGAACAGAGCTTCTTTCCTCTCTCACTTTTGTTGGGAGTGGCATCTTCTAGATAAAATTTTTACTTGCTCTTTTGTCCTTTCCTCCTGAGCTGCTGCCCCTTTCAGGATGTGGAATGGAACAGCTCAGGAAAAGGATTCCAAGGGAGCCATGTCCTGAGCAATCCCTCTGGAATGCTCTCGTGGCAGGTGTTGGTTTGGCTCCACCTGCAGAGCTTCACTTCAGTCCACAGAATGTTCACCTTTGAGCCCTGGGGTTTGTGCAGGGGCTGTCCTCACCTCACTGGAGCTGGACAAAGATGGGACAATCGGAATCTTTATTGGTGTTGGAAACAGGATTTGTGGAGCTTGAGGGATTTATTTGATTTATCGAAGAAGGGGGTTTTTGTTTGTGTGTAGAGAACACTGGTTGTAGCCACTGTTTAAAATAACAGCTCTAGGGGTTGAGGAGTTGAAGGTCAAAGCCGGGTCAGGGTTTGGGAGTGGAGCAAAGAGCTCCAGGGATGATCCATCCAGGCTTGTGGTGGCCATTGCATCATCCCTGGAGAACCTTCGCAATCCCAGTGAGTCATTTTCTCTAAAACTCAAAGTTCCAACCACAGCCCCTGACCTCGAGGTGGGCATTCATCAGTGGCCAGCTCCTCGTCTGCATTGTTTGGGATCCAGGACTACCTGAGCTCCCTGATCCTCAAACCCCACGTAGGAACAGTGGATTCAAACTTGTTTTTCTTCTTGTGGCGAAGACCAAATTTCAAAAGCCGAGAGGAGCTGAAAGGGAAGGGAAGCCGAGCTGCAGCTGGGGCAGCCAAGGATTTGGGAGCTGTGATTTGGGCTCTGATAACGCTCTCTGTGTGGCCCTGGGTGAGCTGTTAATCCAGGGGTGCCTCCTGTGCCAAGCTGTCCAGGAGCTCCACGCTCCCACTGGAACCAGGCGTTTTTAACAGCCCGTTAATGTAAATAGGGAATAATTTCCAGCTTTTTATGGATGTTTTGTTCGTGACCAAGGTGGCTGCGTTCAGGGGAGATGCCCATTTTCCAGACCTCCTTCATTTCACTCCTGGGAGATGTTTCTGACTCTTCCAAAGAGGATTTTTCTTGACTCGCGGCCACGGCTGCGGTGCTCGGTGCCGCCAAGTTCAATGTTCTCCTGGATGGAATAAAAACGTGTTTATGGATTTTGATGAAACTTGGAAATTCTTGGAGTGCTGAACTTGCTGCGTTACGGGAAAAGGAATCAAGCTCTGACTCATGGAGGAGCCTGACCCTGGGGGAGAGGGTGGCCTTGGACACCAGGGCTTGGCTGAGTCAAAAAAGGTTTTTTGGTTGTCTCGGGCATGGATTTGTTTTGGGAATGATCCCACGGCTGGTATCAGTTGGGGCCATGAAGGATGAGACGTGGCCTCGGTGCCCCTCTGAATTTTTGCTCTTTGTTCCTCTGTATATTTACATTTTTTCCTCACCAAACCATTTCCAGGGTTAAGGGTTCTCTGTCTGTTCTCACTCCAGACCGAGGTGTTTGGGCAGCTTGAAAAGCACAAGATTTTTACAGGGAAATTCACTTTAAATGAAAAGATTTCAATGTTCAGAAAATCTGAGAGTTCAGCACACTGAGCCCAGCCAGGGCCCAGCGGTGTCAGTTCTGTGCTCTGGGTTTGTTCCAGGTGCAGAAACAGCTCAAGGTGTAACGATGATGGTTCTCTCATCTCTAGCCCTCGAAACTCTGGCATTTCATGGAATCATGGAATGGGATGGGTTGGAAGGGACCTTAAATCCCATCCAGTGCCACCCCATCCATGGCAGGGACACATCCCAGTGTCCCAGGTGGATCCAACCTGGGATCCACTGCCAGGGATCCAGGGCAGCCAGCTCATCTCAATCCCTTTTCCTCCCAGCCTGGATTTGTTGCCCTGATCCCGGTGCAGGACTTTGCACTTGTCCTTGTCCCTCATGTCCAGCCCAGTCCTGCCTGGTGTAGCAGTTCTGGGTTTAATTTCCCTTTTCTTGCTGCCTTCAGTTGTATAAATGTCTTGATCCCATGTTTTTGTCAGCTTTCTGCCCTCTTTGCTTCCCCTGTTCAGGAATTTTCCTTGCCTGTCTGCTCTCTGTCTTTCTGCTTTTTTTGCTGTTCCCTTTTTTATTAATGTTTATTCCCTTCATTCCCTAAAGGATTGCAGATTCAATCAGTGGAAAATAATTGCCAGGATATTCTTCAGTCTCCTGCTCTCTCCAAATGTTCAGGTACTTTGCACTGGTCACTAATTCCCTCTCCTGGAGAATAACCTGGACCTAATTCCCAATTCTTTGGCTTTCTTTGGCCTCCTGGGGTTGATTTTGTGGCACTAAACTGTGAATCTGAGGACTCACACCTCACTAACCTTTGCTGTGCTTACAGATCAGCTTTCCAATGGAAAAGCTCCCAGTTTTTCCAGTCTGGGCATCTTCTGGGGTTTGAAAAGAGGGGTTTTGCACCAAACTTCTGGAACCTGGATGTCAGAACCAAGTCCAGTCTTCCAGGTGGAGTCACACCAACATTTCTGTTGTTGTTCCCCTGACCTGGACAATCTGCTCGTCCAAAATGTGATTTACCTGCCACTGGATTGCAATCCAAGGGGATCTGTGATCTCCATGGCTGTGATTCCATGACCTCTCTCAGCTCTTCACAAAACTGAGATTTTTTTTTTTTCCAGTTCTTCAGAGGAAAAAGAAATATTGGAATCCCTGAGTGGTTTGGGTTGGAAGGGGCCATAAATCCCATCTCACTCCACCCCTTACCCTGGGCAGGGGCACCTCTACTGTCCCAGGGTGCTCCATCCATCCTGGCCTTGAACACGTCCAAAAATTCCTCTTTTAGAGGAAGAATCCACTGGATTGTTTGAATGTTCCCAAAAAAAAAGAAATCAAGGATAAACTCAACCAGCCCATTATTTCTCCGTGCATCTCTCGCTTCCCATATCAACCCCTGCACATCCTAACACCAGATTTCCCTTTGTCAGCCCGAGCTTTTCCCTTTATTCCATTTGTCATGTCCCCTTTTTCTTTTTTCCCTGGTTTTTTATGGCCTCTTTAACTCCCATCTGCGCCAGGTTTGCCTTTTAACCAGCGTGGCCGCCCCGCTCAGTTGTGGGATTGTGGCTTCTGGAGCATCTCGTTAAAATGTTCTTAAACAATTTTCAATTAGGCTTCATATTTTTCTGATTACGTTCTTTCTCCCCACTGATTTGCCTCCTAATTATTTTCAGCTTGATGGAGCTGGTCCTCTTTAAGATGAGTGGATGCTGTGTTTTTGTGTGGACTATTGGTGGTGCTGGTTTATTCCTAATTTTTATATATTTATGTATTTTTGCACAGTTGTGATCAAGTCACGGTTATTTGAGTTTCAGCTGTCAAAAAAGAAGTGGGAGAAGAAGTGGCTGCTGGTTGTAAAACTGAATTTTTCCGAGTGGGCACTGGCCCAGGGGGTGCTGATTTTGGGGTTTGTGGCATTTAGGGGATGGTGGTTCTGGAATGGAGGGGTGAAGTCTCCAATACTTTGATGTCTGGACAACCTCAGCTCCTGCTGAACTTGGTGTGCTTTGTTTGATCAGATAATTATGGGATGGTCTGGTGCAAAGGGACCTTAAAGAGCATCTGGTTCCATGGGCAGGGACACCTTCCACCATCCCAGTGTCCCACCTGGCCTTGGACCCTGCTAGGGATCCGGGGGCAGCAAATCTGGGAATCTGTGCCAGAGGGAAGAATTTCCCCTTCATATCCAATCTTAACACAACCACAGAATCCCAGAATCCCTGAGGTTGGAAAATCCCTCCAGGACCATCCAGTCCAAGCTGTGCCCGATCCCCACCTTGGCACTGAGTGCCACATCCAGGAATTCCTTGGACACCTCCAGGGACGGCAAATCCAGACCTCCCTGGGTGCTTCCAAGGCCTGAACACCCTTTCCGTGGAGGAATCTTCACAGGTGTCCTGGTTTCCTGGGAATGAACTGGAAAATGGGAGGAAAACCCAAGTTCCTGTGGAAGGTGAGGACAACACCACTTCAGGCTGGCTGTGTCCCACCAGGGTCACCTGGGGACCTCTCCTGTGACCTCACAGAGCCAAACTGGGATGGCTCTTGGGGTGGAAGGAGCAGGGAAGGGCCGTGTGGGAGCACCACCCACGGCAGAAATGGATTTGTAAAGAATTCCCAAAGCTGACAGTGTTGTACATCTGTGTGCAGCACACGTAAGGTGTGTTGATTTAGGACGGCCGTGGAATAGAGGTGACGCTGTTGAGAGAGAGATGGAACTGGAAATAAGTTTTAACAAGTTTCAAAATGTGGCCTTGCAAAAAGATTAGATATTCTTAGAGAATTAGAACGGTGAAAGATGCATTGTAGCAGGACCACGTGGGGTAAAAATATCGGTGATTGGTGCTAGAAGTGTTAGCAGCGCTGTGTGGCAAAAACTAATAAACTACAGAACATTTATAAGGTGTTGTAACCAGGAAATGGGCTGGCTTCTGATGGAATGGCGTTGGGTTTTGCACCTCTTGTGTCTCACTCTTCATCGAGACTGATAATGGAACAGAATCTTTTAGAACGCCTCTCAGTCACCCCATCTCTGTAAAACCTGGGAAAACCAGCAGCCCCCCGGGAGAGACACCTGGACCTGCCGCGAGAAGGACCGGGCGTCTCCTCCGGCATCCCGCACGCCCAGTGAGGTGTGCTGCCCCTCTCCCTGGGATTGTGACCTCCAGGCCGAGCTCTGCCAGAGCCCGGGGCTGCGCTGGGACCTGGAGGGGCGGGATGATCCCTCCTTAGCCCCGGGATGACCTTTCCCCGCAGCGGGATGGAAGCCGTCAGCGCCGCATCTGCAGCTGCTTAGTGACCCCTTCACACAACGCGCTGCTGCTCGGGGTCATCTGGTTCCAGTTTCACCAGAAACAGAAGGAAATGTTGGGAACATACTTCCCTACATCCAGTTTCACTTGTTGTGGATGCTTGGAATGCTTTGGAGCCCACATCTTTGGGGTTTCCAGGAGGGGGTTTGGCCGGCGAGCCCCGGCGACCATTTGAGATTTAGGTTTTTTTTGATTCCAGAAGTGCCCCGGAGGTTGCATTGTAGGGCCTTTTTCCTTATGCAAAACATAAAAGTGCTGCTTTTTTTCAAATTATAACCATATTTTTCATTAAAATCAGTTGGAGTCCCAATAAACAATCGACTCTGAAAAATTTTCCAAATGTTCTCTGCAGCACCGTTTCTATTTTTAATTATTTTTTAAAAAACTGGGATTTTTTTTCTTAAAAAAAAAAAAACAACAAACCCAAACCAAAAAAACACAGCTTGGCTTAGAATTTAAAGAAGCCATCTAGTAAATCATGAAAAATGCACATATATAGCTCCTTATTACAATATAATTAAAACCTACTGCACATGGAGTGTCAGAATCCCTCTGTCGCCGTGTCCGATGGCTTCTCCCGTTTGCCTTATCGTGGGAACTCCTCCTTTCTGCTCCCAACGCTTCCCAAAGCCTCTCCCAGCCTGTTTGTACATTTGTTTTATATAAACTGAGTGCTCTGATCCTATAGAGAGGGATGGAAAAACTCTTCAAAGCAGGAGCCGCAGAAATTCCTTTTTTTTTCTGGGCAGAGTTTCCATCCCCATCACTCCTTGGGGTTGTCATTTTTTGATTTTATTGGGAATTTCACTATTTTATTCTTACCTGGTGTGATCTTTATTTGCTGTCCTAAAAACCCAGCCCACAACTAAGAACAACGCCCTGAGTTTTGTATCAAAAGTTGTAATTTTTGGTTTATACAAAGCAAGTTAAGGTACCTCAGTTAAATATTTAGGGTTAAAGTTTTTTATTGTGAGCTGGAGGTTGAGGAATATTTCAGGATATTCCTGCAGTGCAGCCAAGTGTCCAAGGAAAATCATCTCTTAGGGAAAGAAGCAGGTGCTGGGACAAACGGTGGTGATGGGGAACCTGTTCCTGCTGCAAAGGAAAACTGGATGAGAGGAGAAACCGTGGAGTTTATCCATTTATCCATTTTTGTTCTGCTTTCATGTTTTCCGTGGATCAGTGTGGTGTCTGCTCAGTTTGGGATGAGCCAGGGAATGAGTCTGATTGATCTAACCCTGGACAGGTGGGATGGAAGGTGAGATGTCCAGGTTTGGGCTTCAAAGTGGAAAAAAAATAGGTTTAGATGGGAAATTGGGAAGGAATTCCTGGCTGGGAGGGTGGGCAGGGGCTGGGCTGGAATTCCCAGAGCAGCTGTGGCTGTCCTGGATCCAAGGCCAGGTTGGACACTGGGGCTGGGATCCACCTGGGACAGTGGGAGGTGTCCCTGCCATGGATGGGGTGGAATGGGATGAGATTTAAGATCCCTTCCCACCCAACGCGTTCCAGGATTCCCTGTAGATGTTGGTTGGGAGGATTTCCTTGCTGGGCCTGTGTCGGAGGCAGACCTGAGCTGGTGGAGTTGGGAATTTCGTCCTGCCTGGACCTTCCCAGAGCCCTCGGCCAGGAGCAGCCGCTGCTGTGGGGGCAGAGCTTTGTCCCACCCCGTCCCAGGTGGTTCAGGTCATCCATCCCCTCTGCCAACGGAGCCATTCCAGCTCTCCTGGGGGTTGGCCTGGCCAGGCAGAGCGTGCCCAAGCCAAGGAATTCCTGGAGCTGGTGGCCAGCACTGGAGTCTCAGTGACATCCTGGCCATGGGAATCGCTGCTGTGCTTCCAAAGGGTGAGGGCAGAAAGGGAAATCCCTGGAGTCAGAGCTTGTTCTGCTCCCAATGACCCATCCCAGGCGTTGATGGGATATATCCATGGAATTATTTGGCTTTTCAGCTGCTGCAGGGCAGTTCTGGTGTGGGACAGGTGTGAAAACCTTTGGAAAAGTCTGTTTTCCGTGGATGTTTGGGATGGGCAGTTAAGGGTGGGAAGTTCCTGCTGGATTTTAACAAGGTTTCATTTTTCCTGAGGGACAGGGATGGCAAAGTGGGAATGTCGGGCTGAATCCTCAGGAGGACACGACCTATTCCAAAGGAGACCAGAAACTTGGGTTTGGTTCTCCTTGACTATAAATTTTGGCTTTAATCTGCTCATTAAGCCTCTGTAATTATCAACAAATACTAATTATGACTCGTGAGGGTCCAGCACAATCCATTCTGGTTCTGCTGAGCTCCAAACCCACTTTGTTCCGGGAGAGTTTTGGGATTGGCACTGAACACTCTGCAGAACATCTCACCCCTCTGAACTCCCT